AGATAAAACGAAACTAGTATAGCAAGGTTTGGAGTGAGGTTTATAAGATATAATGATCGTAATATTATAAGGAGAACGTATACATTTGAAATTTATTTACAATTATAATTATGATATTTGAACATAAAAATCTGGAATCTATTTAAAATTCGACTGAGCCGGATTTGACTCTAAATTCACTATAGGCTCAAACACCGAACGACCTTCACCACCGTAGTTGACGATAGCAGGTGACAGTTAGGTGACATAAAACATCTATTACAGCTGAAATAAATCGTAAGTACATACATTTACATTGCGTTAATGCTTACTGGGTGAATAATGCTGGAAAATGCAGTCCTTACACATTTGGCTATTAAAATTAAATACAAAATTTAGAGGTCGGTCACTGCTTTGTCAATGGAGAATCTACTGCTAGGAGTGTCAATGTTTTTAATTCCATCTGCAACCAGTGCCCAATATCGGTATCTACTCTTTTCCATTGTGTTCTCATGCTCTGTATTTCCTTACTACTGCGTCGTTGTCTATTCATTGTAGACCTACCGTTTACTGTGGCTTCTACCGGGTAATGATCAGAGGTATTGGATGCCAAATTGTCTTTGACCTTGATATCGTTTATGACCGGGATCCCCTTAGTGCATGTATAAAGGAAAATTCTGTGGCGGTCGAGTCTTTTCTATTTGGGTGAAGGAATGTTTTGCCTGTGAGCTTCGGCTCCAGGTGGTGTTCCGCTATAAATGTAGCTAGAGCAAGCTGCCTCCTGTTAGATGGTCTATCTGTTAGTTCCTCATTGAAGTCAACTCCTATCAGGAGAGTATGAGTGGCTTGGTATTTTTTTTTTCAATGTGTTTTTATACTCATCATACTGGTCAGTCCCCTCGTTACATGGCATATATACCGAGATGATAACAAAGTCTGTGGCGTTGGTAGCGAGTTATATTGCTTGTACTCTAGTACCTCCGTCCGTAATTGGTGTGACGTTGTGGTCAATTTCTTTCATTGTGCGATGAGGAAACCCAGCATTGCCGTTTCCTCCTATATGGCTACCATAGATGTTTTGGAGGAGTGTAGGAGCATGTACGTGTTCCCTTTGTGGTGCGGCTTGGGCTGTGGGTTGGATGACCGTCCGTGTTTCTTGATGTCCTCCTTCCCCAGTGCCGGCATGATGTTGACTATGTGGTGGTGCTTGCTGATCCCATTGCAGCGTCAAGTTGAGGGTTGGTTGCACATGGATGGCCTATATCCCCATGGTGGTTCACTCTTGCATTATTCTCTGGTCCTGTATTCAAGGTTCGAGTCGGCTTTTGAATGTCATTAGACAGGTTCTCCATTATAGTTAATTCTCTATCGACTCTCTTAAGCACATAGCTTGTGACCCTTCTGTGTATGTCCTCCAAGAGGTTATCTTTGGTATCAGGTTTCACTTGTCTTGCTGTATCACTATCGATCTCTGATTGTTCTCCCATTGCCAGCCTTCCGAGGAGAATCATTTTAGTACGTTGGAGCTCAGTTACGTGTGATTCAAGTTCGCTGACATGTGCTAGCATTTGGGTCCTCTCTTTGTCCACTTTATTCCTTGTGTTTGGATTTATCAGTTTCTCTATCCTGTGCCTTATGTATAGCTTTTTTGTTCCTTGCATTTGTCGTCAAGGTATTATGCGTAGCCGTAGGCTCAATGACGGAATCGGCATGTTCGGTTTGACCAAACTCTCGGGAATCGGTACATTCAAGTCGGTCAGACTCTCGGGAATCTGTATGTTCAGGTTGTTCAGACTCTTGTTAGACTTCATTTACTTTACAGTTAAGACACATGTTCTTATCAGTTGTATCATGACACTGATGTAGACAAATTTCGCATGCTGTTCTTTGCTGTTTTATTGCGATTTCACATACAATGCACGTCGGATCTATCGCCCTGTGGCCACCAATGGAGGAGTGGGTGGTTAGTAGGGTTGCTGCGTTACAATAGCAGCAACAGTTGTTGAAGATGATGGTAAACCTTGAGCCCTGTTACATAATGACAGATGTAGGTCATGGCTCGTCACAGACACATATGGCTGATTAGGATTGTTTTTGGTCAATTCGGCAATTGACAAGAACAGGGAATCACGAGGCTTGGCTGACATAAGCTCTAGGGTATCCTTGAAGGTGTTGTCTCTCAAGTTAGGCATAATGTGAGTATTAAAGTCTATGTCAAAAAATCGGCTGAGAATTTAACCATTGATCATCATTTTGGATGAAGTCAGATATAAGTTTAGTGTGTACACGTTGGCGTTGTTAGCTTAAGACTTTACCTGGTATGATAACTGAGTAGTATGTCTTTCCCCATCTTAACCACTATTTTCATCGATGTAGAAGTTGGAATCTGGGTAGTTGGAGTAAAAGTCGCTAATAACAGCTCTGACTAGTTCATAAGTTGTGGCGTCGAGGGTGAAAATCGTACCGCCCCCCCGTTTCGATGACATCAATAATATCGAGTGGTATTTTTTGGCGTCATCTAGTTTCTTTCTGAGAGACTTCGATTTATCCAAGACACATGGCTTGGTATGTGTTAATGTTCTTAGGCTACCTACAGATACCGACGTTCTGAGGGATCTCCTTGTCGCTCCTGTAGGTTTGTTGGTTGGAACGGCCATGCTGTGGTCGGCCATCTTAGATCACGCTGAGGTCTTGGGTTGGACGGGAAGTGAGTGCAAGTGTAAATATTTACAATAAAAAAGACGGTTATAAGTTAATATAGCGATGGGAATTAAACGAATAAAACTCAAAGTCAATCTTAAAACTGTTACTGTAACGTTTAAAAGCAGCAACGCCCTGAGCTGCATATAACTTATGTACAATGGCCAGGGCAGGGGTGCATGAAAAACAAAATGGCGGTGCAGAGTTCACAAACTATAAAAACGATGAAATATGGCACATGAGGCGTGTAAAGTCAATAAAACAGTTCATGGCTGGAACGGGTGGGGTGTTGGGCTACAGTTTACTACCAATGACAAACCAGTGCTTAGTAAAAATCGGTGAAACTTTTTAAAATTGTGATGTGCTGTTCTGGACCCCCTGCTACCTGCCATGGTCACGTGGTTTCCACATGTTAACTACGATTTCCATATTGGGGCATGACACCAATAATATAGACGTCTGACTTACTTCGGAATTGAGAGGAAGTTTCCAGCATTGCGATCACTTCAGATTTTGATTGCCCCTGCAACGTAAACTTGATAATTTAACGACATTTTAAGCAGAGATTAATTTGAAGTTACATTGGAAATCAACAGAAATTGTTCATATTGTAGTAGGACGAGGAATAGTGATAAAGAAAGTGCCGTTACTTGGACTCGAACCCGCGACCCTTGGCTCTCCAGCCCGATGCTATACCGCTGAGCTAAAGGGAAATTCAAACAGGTATTTTAACAGTTTTAATGAAATTTATAATGGTTAAATCTAATACTTGGTTGATAATACGTTCTCGACTATAATTGAACCAAAACTTGGAACGGACCTGAATGGTCTATAAGTCGCACATGGTTATTTACAGGTAACTCATTCACCCCTGACAGACACATTTGAACTTTTCCAATTCAAAGGTTGAAATAGTTCATGATAAAGTTTCAGGAGTGGATGAGTTAAGGCACGCAACTTTGGATATTGTAGCTAAAAGAATCTGAAGCTTTTTGGTCTTGATATGTGGGTGACATCAATGATAGTTCAGTATGAGATATTGTTTTTGTATTGAATTCTGTTTTTAAAATGGACAAGGCAAAATCGTATCATTATAGCTTTAAATAAACATACACATTCAAAAACAATGTACATGTAAAAAAAAACATGGGATAGAAAAGTGTTTAAATGATCTTCTTTCAGATAGATGGGAAAACAAGCTTAGAGCGATGGATGAGGGAAAACACTGTCCCACACCAATAATCGTTTTAATTCTTTTGCATGCATAGAAGAGAATATACCCTTTCACATTAAACAGGTTGAAGATTTTTTTATAATCAATTGTAGCGCCATCCTCTTGTGCAAAACATCCCTGTACTTCTTTTTTTTCTATAGTATCATTTATCTTTGGATTAAATATTTGGAAAATTAAACAAATTCATAACATCTGAAATTTGTTTTGCTCGATGAACACATAAATGGTCAATGCGCATAGCTAGTTCAAAGTACTATAACACTTCATGCAATCTTGTGTGCGATTTGCTTTTTATGGAAAATGTTTTGTACGTCTCACACATTGTTGGAACTAAAATTTTAATTGGGGTTTTTCCTTATTCCTCGTGCTATGTGATATCATGAAGCATTTTATTAGTAATTACGGAGTTCTGATATTTTTGTTTTGTTTTGATAAATAAGTTTTAAAATGGTCTTGTTGTGTGGTTGTTGGAACTAAAATGTAACTTGGGTTTTTTCCTTATTCCTCGTGCTATGTGATATCATGAAGCATTTTATGAGTAATTACGGAGTTCTGATATTTTGTTTTGTTTTGATAAATAAGTTTTAAAATGTGTAATGATGAACTTGTGTCTCGGAAAAAATGGCAAAAGATAAAACAGATCAACGTAAGTAAGTCTAGTTGATTCGTAGGTCTTATTATTCTTTTGTAAGGTGTGGATCGATCATTTACCAAAATTAAAGCTAAGCATCAAGCTGACAATGCTAGCAAAACTTCAACGTAAACACACCGACATAACTGAGCGATTTTGTATATACACAAACCACAGCAAACTGCATGGAGGTACATACGTAGTTTAAAAAGACTGAATGTCAGTGACATTGCAAACTACATGAAATAACATTACTTTAGCCTTGGTAAAGTTGATATCAAGTGTTAACTACTTCGATCTGTCTATGCGTATGTATGCATGTGTATGTGTGCATGTGTATGTGTGCATGTGTATGTATGCATGTGTATGTGTGCATGTGTATGTGTGCCAAATCTCAAAATAAACATACCGGAAACTCCAGGATAATACGATACTAGTTCAAAGTTCAGTATATAGTCCGTCGATTGTTGAAGCTCACTTAAGCTTTTCGAGTCCGATATACACATGTATTTGTAACTTGTAGGAATGAGGCTCGGTATACACAGCTACCTGCGCACGGAATAACATATCTCTCATGCAATAATCATGTTTACTTATGTTGTCGAATTATTCTCCAGTAGCAGTGGTATTGTATGGACTCTTCTGGTTCTAGTTGTTTCATATTATCTGTGGAATAGACATCAGAAACTGAAAACATTGCCCCCGGGGCCTTCACCAATTCCATTATTGGGAAACATACTTGACCTAGGAGGACCGAACCAGCTACAAGTGTTTCGTAAACTGCGGGAAAAGTATGGAGATCTTGTCACTCTGCACGTGGGGTCCTTCACCATCGTGGTGGTCAGTGGCTACGACACACTACGAGAACTGTTCGTCAAACGCGGAGACGTCACGTCTGACCGACCGGACATATTTACAATCAGAGAAATAACACGTCGCCATGGTATGTTCGTGAATATGTTTTAGAAAGATTCTTGCACATTCAATGTTGTTTAACCATGAGGTTGTCAGGCTTAATACCCCAATCTGCTTGTTCTAATGAAGTTCTTTAAAACAGTTATGTTATAAAACTCACATATTTAGTTAAGACAACGTGGTTATCATACGGTAATATATTATACAACGTAACGTATTTACATTTAAATAGATAGCATGTACGTCGCAAAAGCCTGGTGTGAATATTTATTGAATCGTGAGGTTGTCTGGTTTAATATGACTAATATGCATGTTCTAATGAGATCATTTGAAAGTTTAATGCATTGTTATAAAATCCAGATTATATTAAAGTCAACATGAATGTCAAATAAGAAACATAATGACGTTGTGTTTTGAAATATGCATAGGAATAGCGAGCAGATCAGGAGCAGAATGGAAGACGCACAGGACGTTCGCTCTCGGAGGGCTGAGGGATTTTGGCTTTGGAAAGAAAAGTTTAGAAGGGAAAATAATTGAGGAGGTGGAAATATTCCTTAAGAATCTTGACGAGAAGAAAGGACAACCAATATGTCTCGATTCATATATCCATATTAGTATTGGAAACATAATATGTGCCATTGTATTCGGTAAAAGGTTTGAACACGGTGATCCTGTATTTATACAACTGTTAGCTTTGGTGAACGAGAATTTGTCTCTCGCTGGAATCGCTGGACTCTTAAATCTCCTCCCAGGTCTCCGGTATATCCCAGGCGACCCACTTTCTGGTGGAAAAGTACTCTCTAATGCAGCAACGATATTTAAATATATCGGCGATCTAATCACTGGTCATCGCGAGGAGTACAATGAAGATAACATCAAAGATCTGGTTGACATTTACATTAAAGAAATGAAGAAACAGGAAGGACAAGACACGTCTTTCACAGGTATCAATCAATAAATACATTTGTGATACATGTATTATAATGTAAAGCGATGAAACGGCTGACCGCCAGTGAATAGCCACCCCGATAACTTATATCTAAGATACGTGTATGTCGTTCATTAATATTTGGTAGATACATTGTTACAACGTTGAACCTCTTGACAATACGATGTATGTGCACCGATAACCTGCGAACCACTGCCATTTCATTTCGAAATTCCAGTGGGTAAGGCCCCTAACGTTCTCTACTCCCTTGGTATATGACATCAGGTCATCAGAAAAACATTTGTATGAAATCATTTATTATAATATAATTATAAAAATAACGATGATTTCTTTATGTGTCATTGCATTTTAAATTCGGTAAAAATAACTGCTCGATACAAGCGGTAATTTATTTACCTCATGTGCAATATGTGGATTTTTCAATTTTTTGTTATCATTTATTTTACTATTAAAGTATCAATACCAAGGACGCTCCACTGAAGCCTGCCAACACGTTCCATTGGTTAGATCTGGTGAAGAGAGAACTTACATAGTTTGAGCGAACGCTCGATTTCTTTTGTGCCTTTATCTTTATTTTGAAAGAACTATTCTTCAATGAAAGTGATTAAAAGTTAAGTACAAGATATTGAAAGATTTTTTTAGACCCTCTTCAAAATGATAATTGCACAATATTTGTTAATAACATATTTTTTGTTTTTTATACAGATTTCCAGTTGGTTAATACGGTAGCAGACTTGTTCGTCGCTGGAATGGAGACGACCACTACCACTCTTCTCTGGGCTGTTTTGTTTTTTATAAACAACCCGGATGTACAGAAACGCTGTCACGAAGAAGTGATGGAGGTGGTAGGGGAGGGTCGCTTTCCGTCCCTGTCAGACCGTTCCCAAATGCCGTACATTGAGGCTACAATCACAGAGATTCTAAGACGGGGGGATATTGCTCCACTAGGAATTCCACACGCTACAAGTGAAGAATTGGAGTTTAATGGCTATGTACTACCAAAAGGAACTATGTTGGTTACAAACATCAACTCTGTCCACTCCGATCCTCTACTTTTCCCAGACCCGGGTAGATTCGACCCATCAAGATTCATCGACAATGATGGTAAAGTTCATGGAACGGAGCGTGTAATTCCCTTCTTTTTCGGTGAGTACTAAAATGTACCTAGCTCTATTTGGCAGCATTATGGAAGAAAGATGTAAAATAAATCGGTTCTAGAAATGTAATAGGGGTTTATATTTCATCATTACATTTATCATAGACAGGTTTTAGCTATTAACGTGCCTTTTAATATCAAATTTTGTAGCGTTCGATATGCTCCGTAGTGCTTAAATTAAAGAAAAACTATCTCCAAAGTACATCTACATAAATGTTAGTAAAAGACTGTAATTTTAGTAATTATAAAACTGAACCTACCCGTCGTAATTTTAGTAATTATAAAACTGAACCTACCCGTCGTAATTTTAGTAATTATAAAACTGAACCTACCCGTCGTAATTTTAGTAATTATAAAGCGCAACCTATCTGTCCAGATTTTAGATTTTGTAAATACCAGACCACATGGAAAACAAAGCATAATTTGTAGTGACTGTAAAACTGACTGTTATTTTACAAGTACTTCTACAGACATTATCTATTGATACCAGTGATCTTATTTATGCCTACTTTGTGAAATCAAACTTGTTTGTATAGAGTTTCAGAAATCGAAAATGATTAGTATTTTCTATGGACGCTACATCGTTTTATTCAATTGAGGTGCTTTCGACTGCTCACATCGACAGACATCTTGCGTACATCAATATGTATTGGCCAATCAGAGTTGCTTCCGTCAAATCGACTTGTTGACAACAAAAACACGTGTACTAGTTTACCTTTTCCTCGCAATCGAGTTGTTTTCGTAATTGTAATGCTGAGAAGTGCCAGGAATATCAAAGTTATTTTGATATTACTAATTATTCTGGTAAATAGATATAAATCCAACGAGCTTATTAGTTTGTGTCTGCTAAAAGATCACTGCATAACCAATGCTTACATTTGATCAAATTAACCGGAAGTAATTTTGATTGGCTAGTGCGCCCTATTGTTGAAGGCAAAATGGCTGTGGATGTGAACAGTCGAAAGCACCTCAATTGAATAAAACGATGTAGCGTCCATATTGTATCGAGTACGGACATGAAATCTAGTCAAGTGAGTGAGAAATTAATCAACTGAAATAAAAGTATGATTATTTTCTCTGACAAACATGTATAACTCTCACAATCGCTGTCGCCATTCGACGACAATCCCCGTGTTTTATAGAGCAGTCCCGATAGCTGACCTTAAACAGGCGACCGATCAGAATTTTTGAGCCTGCGATTATGGTCTGTTTTAGCGGGCTAACTTGGTACATACAAAAACAAAACAATATCAAAGTTTCACATGATATTTATGTAGATTTTCACATTTAAAATTCAAAAATAGGTTAACACCTTGTATTATTCTTTCTTTCAATTCTATATCTTGTGTTTACACAAGTCTCATTTAAAGATTTAACTTCCTCCAATCAAATAACTGGTTTCGTACATCTTACCCCAGGTCGCCGTGTGTGTATGGGTGAGGCCCTCGCCAGGTCAGAGCTGTTCCTCTTCCTCACCTCCATGGTCCAACGGTTCCAGTTCAAACCAGAGGATCCGGACAACATTCCCCCTGTTAAAGGCAATCTCGGCATAACATTCAAACCGTGTGAATATAAATGTATTGCTGAGAAGAGACTTTAAAATTAAGAAACATTAACAATGTTTTCGTTTTCTTGGTTCAGTGAACAGGAATCAAAACCCAGACGTTAACTATGAAACACCTAGTACCAAGGAATCACAGACATGACACGTTAGTGCAGCATATATATTAATGTCGGAACAATTCATTTTATTGAAAGTTACATTACCTCACTACAACACCTGGTAATCCGGAGTAACACGCTGTGACGTAAAGGACTTTCCAACCTTTATAACACACACCCATAACCCGATACCGAAACATTACTACGAAATGTGTATGAAATGAGCTAAGACATACAATGCAATGATAACACATATTTCAGAAATAAAGCTTCCGATACCAAGACATGTATTGATTCACGAAAAGACACTGAAATAAGACCAGTTTGTGTACCGCCTCACATATACATACACGTTTACACATCTACGCTAAGTTCTAGGATGTGGTGAACTTTAGAAGACAGTATGTGTGGTAAACTTTAGGGGATAATGGGTGTGGTAAACTATAGGGTTTAATACATATGTGATATTTCAGGAAGTAATGTAATTTACCACTTGGAGACTTAGATAGGGTTTATCGGGGGTAAGTGATATAGATATATCAGTGCTACATTTTTAAATCACGTTTTAATTCCACGTATACTTTCATTTTTTTTTTATTTGTAATAAATTGCAAGCTGGGAACAATATAAATATATGAATGCATTAAAAAATAACTGACATTTTTTTGTAAATTCTACTTCTACAGTTTATCAAACATAACATGATTAATCTTTTTTTAATTATAGAGAACATTTGGTTCACCGATCACATTTTTAAACAAATACACCGATATTCCATATGCAACCAATGCGGTTTTTTAAATATGTATTCATGCCTTTGAAAAAACAGAATCCCTAGAAATTAAACCTGGACAGCGCTTTATTTTTCAACAGATATAGGTGATTTTTCTACGGATTCCCGGATAGAATTTCCGCGTAGATTTTGTATCCTGAGTACGTTATCTACGCGGGTCACTTTTCCCCGTTACACCGGATTATCTCGAACCGTTTATACCCCTAACTATAGGTGAACACAATACCCTGCTGTAAGAGCGGCCCGATAATGTACAGGTAGACGTGGGAAAATACATCAGACTTTGCTCCCTCTGTAAATAACAATGACGAATAGGTCACAAACAAATTCAATACTTCATGAACTAAACCATAACATAGGTATTCGTCCCTTTGAACGAAGGAGAAAAAGAGTTAGAATACAAGATATTTTGAACGTATGGAAATAACAAAAATGCAGTTGGTTTAAAAGCTTGTCGTCATTAACACTACTTCACTAAGGTACACATTACGAATGCAACACAATGGCATATATTTATGTACATTTACGTATATTCATATAAGAGTAGATCTACGTTATGGTACACATTTATTGAGAAATATCACCTTCGGAAGGTCTTGTAATAGTAATTTAAACCCTACGTACGGGTTGACAGGAGACCTCAGGTTGTTATCCTCTAATCCTGATTAAACTGTCACTATGGAGACCCATTATCATTTTATTTACTGGCACGGCCCAGCATACCCGAAATGTAATTGTTTTCGTCTTGTATTGTTTACATATTTCAACTGAAAGTAGAAAGAGGATATACAACACAATACTTTGTCAATATGATTTTACTATTTTTCCAAATAAAAGCGTAATTGATATCTAAGTTACCCTATTCTTATTGTACTAGCGCGAGTACTGAGGGGATGGAGGTAAATATTGATGTAAAGAATGCAATTGACAAATGTTCCGGCCGGTTCATTAGCTAGGGGTGGACCCGTATGTGTGTAATTTCACTTATCTGAACACGTGATTGACAAGTTCTCGACTTCAATAAATCTCTGATCTAAAATTATATGTTCTGTTAACTAACTTACTCTAGAAATAAAACATCTAAATCATCGCAGGGACTTATTCACACAGCCAGGGTGATAGAAGGGTTCCACACAGCATCCCTGGTAACCCTCTAGGTATACATAGTGAACACATTTAACGGTCTTATTCTCAAAATTGACAGGATCATTTGTTTATGCATTGTAGGATGCACAACATCGCATGTAACTGCTTCAGCTTACAAATGTACAAGGTGCAATCAACTCGGTTTTTATTCGGAAAATCGATCGCTACCCATGACAAAGCCTATCTGGCTATACGCCAGATAGCCAAAAATGGTAGCTTATCTTAGCCGTTATGCTAGAACAATACAATATTAACCTAGGAAAGACACTGATTTTTTTCCACGATTTACCATATTTTCATAAAGAACATGTTGCAATAGTTGTATTATGTCATCATTCTGTCCTTGAATACGAACCGGAGATGATCCTGTATACGCGATAACACTGATGTATGTCATTCGTGAATACACTCGGTACGCACGGCCTTGTTTGTCGGCCATTATATATAAGGCGGTGTAGAGTGTGTATGTGTATTCGGTAGAATATAGAACGACGAGCTGGGCTGTGTTATAAATAGCAAAGGATACTAAACATGTTTGGTGTTTTATTAGAATTGATTTCTGGTAGCAGCGGTCTGGTATGGACACTTCTGGTTCTGGTTGTGGCATATTATCTGTGGAATAGGCACCAGAGGCTAAAATCTTTACCCCCGGGGCCTACACCACTCCCACTACTGGGAAACATACTTAACCTAGCAGGATCGAGTGACCCACTGCAAACATTCCGTAAGCTGCGGGAAAAGTATGGAGATCTGGTCACTCTGCACGTGGGGTCCTATACCATCGTGGTGGTCAGTGGCTACGACACACTACGAGAACTGTTCGTCAAACGCGGTGACGTCACGTCTGATCGACCTAACACATTCGCATTTAGGGAAATAACAAAGGGCGAAGGTAATGTGTTTCCGGGAATTCCCGGAAATGTTAAGTAACATAATATATATTGTAAAAGAGTTGTTAATGAATTATCTTGATATTAAGATGTTGACGCTGAGGAATTGTTATTATCATATTATCAAACGTTGCAAATATTGAGACATGATAAGTTATTTAATACTGTATATAATTGTGCTCAGATATTCTGTACTGTATTACAAATGAATGTATGTGAACTATTCGTCACAGACACATCTATGCTATGGTACATATTTATGAAGAATTGGGTTCATGGGCACATATACGCCATGATACACATTTAGGTGTACATGGGTTACATCTCCGCTATTGCGACGTTACTGACTGGGTTCGTTACTATGTGTTCGAGAGCTTCTGGTTTATGAACTCTTGACTAGTCTACATATATGCAAATATATAGATGTATGTTGCTATTTCGAAACCCTAAAACAAGAAGTGGTATCTTTCATAATAACAAATATATAATTCTTATAATTATCGATCTACTTGACCGTTGACTCCTGGTCGATGATTTTATTAGATTTTGTGTATGTTTATTTTTTTAAACCAATCACCGACGATAAGGAATTACTGCTGGCTACTAGTAGTAATGTTCTAGAATAGATATTTATCGTTCTGGATACCACAGTGTCGATCGAAAGTTTGAGGATTATTATATTTCAAGGAAAATGTGTGTTAAAGTGTATCATAGGAAAATTAAGCCACGGGCGATATATATTTGATCTTGTATCAAAATTGAAAATGTACATCTTTATAAAGGATTGATCGTGCATTCTTAGAAATATATTGACAGCGAATTTCAGTGGGTTTTTTTTTGTAGATCATCAAAACAAGAGAATTTCCTTCTGAACATAACAAAATGATTTTCTCCTGATTTGTTTTGAAAACATACAGGAATTGTGAGTAGATCGGGGGCAGAATGGAAGACACAAAGAACATTTGCTATCGGAGGTCTGAGGGATTTCGGATTCGGAAAGAAAAGTTTAGAAGGGAAAATAAGGGAAGAAGTAGAAATATTTCTCATGGTTCTCGACGTGGAGGAAGGAAAACCGTTACATCCCGAGTCCTTTGTTCAGACTAGTGTTGCGAACATTATATGTGCCATAGTGTTCGGGAAGAGGTTTGAACATGGTGACCCTACATTTATAGAGCTCCTAACGTTGATAAACGAAAATATGTCTCTTGTCGCACCCTCCGGACTTCTCAACTTCTTTCCTAGTCTCCGATATGTCCCAGGAGATCCTGCTGGCTGTAGGAAAGTACTTAATAATGCAGAAAAAATCATCAAATATCTATACAACGTTATTGATGCTCACCAAAAGGACTACGACGAGGAAAACCTGAAAGACTTCATCGACGTTTACTTAAAGGAGTTAAAAGATAAGGAGGGACAGGACACGTCCTTCACAGGTACGTTTTGCATATACGACGTTCACAAATACGTTTGCCCATACGACCTTCACGTTTGTCTCTTTGACCTTAACAGACGACCTTCGCAAATATATTTGCCTATATGACCATCACGGGTACCTTTATAAACAGCTTTTTGGTTTTTGTCCTTTTTGTAACAAAAATAATGGCTATTTGAAACTTACATAAAACTATTTATCAAATGACAATTATCGACATCAGCTAATTAGACATTAATATGAGGTATCCTCTTATTTCAGTTTCTCAGTTAATGAATACAATAGCCGACATGTTAATTGCTGGAATGGAAACGACAACCACAACTCTACTCTGGGCTATCCTTTTCTTCCTCAACAACCCGGATGTACAGAAGCGCTGTCACGAAGAAGTGATGAAGGTGGTTGGGGAGGGTCGCTTTCCGTCCCTGTCAGACCGATCACAAATGCCGTACATTGAGGCTACCATCACAGAGATTCTCAGATGTGGGAATATTGTTCCACTCGGGGTGCCACATGCCACAAGTGAGGACGTACATTTTAAAGGCCATATCATTCCTAAAGGAACAATGTTGATGCCAAACATCGTGTCTGTTCACACTAACCCGCAAAAGTTCCCAGACCCGGGTAAATTCAACCCGTCAAGATTCATCGATAGCGATGGTAAAGTAAGCGGAACGGACCATGTGATATCCTTCTTTTTCGGTAAGAACTCAGTTGATAATATGATATACGATGTCGTTTAAGTATACTGATTAATGTATGAAGATTTATTTCCATGAAAGATTTTTATTTTCACGATAAAGATGCAGCTCCGAAATCACACGACTATGATTATTTCAAGTCAAGTTGCACTAAAGACATGATACTCTCAAAGCGGTATACCTTTCCTTGTATGTCTTAAACTTACAATGTTTATCAGTTAATACAGTTTTATACAATACTTTGATTCCTTTAATGTGAGAGCTGAACGTGAAAATACCACAGTTTCAACAAAATCATTATTCGAATTCAAAATTGATAAATCTAGGACAAAATATGATCGAAGGAAAAGTCTACACGGATGTCCTTGAAAAAGTACAAGGAGAATAAGACCAGATGCCGGAAGGGTAAGTGTCTTCTGCTTCATCAACGACTCCAACCATGCAAATCTAGATCACGTCCTCACATCGAGAGCACGGGTAACAAGGCACACTAATGAGCATAATCAACCTTCAATTCACATATAGCCTTTGATATCATGCATTTCAAATCAAGGCCCTCATCTACAACAGCCGCTTACTTCGATCTTTACTTGCAATATGACCACTAAGGATGGCTTACTACTAAGATGTACAACAATCGTAACAAATTCGTTTTCCCTGTCGTGAACTTTCCTTTTTTAGACAGTAATATCACTGCTCCCCCAACTCCGAATAACATGATTAAAGTGATAGATTTATGAGGCCAATGGGCATGAGTTATGGTCGACGTCATGATGTCATTTGGAGAAGAGAATGTTTCATTGTGTGATATGTGAAGTTCGTTATATTTGATTATGTTCATCAGCGTGCATTAACAAATGGATCTAAATAGGCAGCACCTAACGATACTCGTCCATAATGACATGTCCCCAGGATTATATACTGATAACATGGTATACATTTCCATTACAACAGGTCGCCGAGTGTGCATGGGTGAGGCCCTCGCCAGGTCAGAGCTGTTCCTCTTTCTCACCTCCATGGTCCAACGGTTTCAGTTCAAACCAGAGGATCCGGACAACATTCCCCCTGTTAAGGGCAATCTCGGCATAACATTCAAACCGTGTGAATATAAATGTATTGCAGAGAAGAGAGTTTAGAGTAGAAACAAATGTATATTTTCTGTATATTCTATCGTTATTATTTCCAAGCTTCTATATTATGTTATGCTTATATGTTTATACAAGCTATTACGGCAGTTTGAAAAAGACAAAGCCTGAAGGTCGTGCAGCATCGAAAAAACTAATTTGTTAAAAACGTATTTGGAATCGGCGTAGATAAAAAAAAATGTATTACATTATGGTTAAGGCCATAAGTTGCGAATAATTCTGATACTTCTTAACTTTATATTGAATCACAATATGAATTACTGCTAAGTACATTTTATTGTATACGAGTTATATAAATGTTTATACTGAAAACAATATTTTAGATTAAAACAAATACTGCTTAACTAGCACTGCATTTTGGCAATGAACGTAGAAAAACATATATAATTTTGTTATCAACCTATGAAATGTTAAATTTAAAAGATAGGTCATATTACTTACATCGTAATTCCAACATAATGAAAATAACATAAGGCAGTTATTGCATCTTTATGAAAAGCCAAAGTGGGAAAAAAATATATATTTTAAATTTTGAAATCATATATTAATGTTACTAAATCATTTAATAGGAAATAAAGGAAATAAAGGAAAATCTAATTTTTCTCATTGTTTTTGTTTTATATAAAACCATTGCTATACATATGTTTCTCACATTATTTTAATGTGTACCAGAGACATTGAGTTGAAAGTCATCCAGGCCCCATATAGGGAGAAATACGAATACCAACATAAGTTAACACACATCATTCAGAGTTAGATGACCCACTCCTTGGAATTCAATGTACTTGATACGAACTAACAGGCCCCAAAAGATATCTTCTGATTTATAGTTACATTGTTTATATATTTGGTTTTTTTATGATAAAAGATCATTTTGCTTGCAACCTAAACTAGTTATTCGTCATTTATTTACACATCTATTTTATGGTACGCATTTACTCCTACGTCCACACATTAAAACATCTTCACTACGATTCATACCTACGTCCACATTAGCACATCTACGATACAGTTCACATATACAAACACGTTTACATATCCACGATACAGTTCACATATACATACATGTTTACATATCATTAGCACATCTACGATACAGTTCACATATACAAACACGTTTACATATCCACGATACAATTCACATATACATACATGTTTACATATCTACGCTACGGTTCACATACATACATACATGTTTACATATCTACGCTATACGGCTAACATATACATACACGTTTACATATCCACGATACGGTTCACATATACATACACGTTTACATATCCACGATACGGTTCACATATACATACACGTATACATATCCACGATACAGTTCACATATACATACACGTTTGCATATCCACGATACAGTTCACATATACATACACTTTACATATCTACGCTACAGTTCACATATACATACATGTTTACATATCTACGCTACGGTTCACATATACAAACACGTTTACATATCTACGCTATACAGTTCACATATACATACACGTTTACATATCTACGCTACGGTTCATATATACATACACGTTTACATATCCACGATACAGATCACATATACAAACACGTTTACATATCCACGATACAGATCACATATACATACACGTTTACATATCTACGCTACAGTTAACATATACAAACACGTTTACATATCTACGCTACGGTTCACAGATACATACATGTTTACATATCCACGATACAGTTCTCATATACAAACACGTTTACATATCTAGGCTACGGTTCACATATACAAACACGTTTACATATCTACGCTATACAGTTCACATATACATACACGTTTACATATCAACGATACAGTTCACATATACATACACGTTTACATGCTATACGGTTCACATATACATACATGTTTACATATCTAAGCTATACGGTTAACATATACATACACGTTTACATATCCATGATACAGTTCACATATATATACACGTTTACATATCCACGATACAGTTCAAATATACAAACACGTTTACATATCCACGATACAGTTCACATATTGATACACGTTTAAATATCCACGATACAGTTCACATATACATACATGTTTACATATCTACGCTACGGTTCACATACATACATACATGTTTACATATCTACGCTATACGGCTAACATATACATACACGTTTACATATCCACGATACGCATCTATTTTATGGTACGCATTTACTCCTACGTCCACACATTAAAACATCTTCACTACGATTCATACCTACGTCCACATCAGCACATCTACGATACAGTTCACATATACAAACACGTTTACATCTCCACGATACAGTTCACATATACAAACACGTTTACATATACACGATACAATTCACATATACAAACACTTTTACATATCTACGCTACAGTTCACATATACAAACACGTTTACATATCCAAGATACAATTCACATATACAAACACGTTTACATATCTACGCTATACAGTTCACATATACATACACGTTTACATATCAACGATACAGTTCACATATACATACACGTTTACATATCAACGATACAGTTCACATATACATACACGTTTACATATCAACGATACAGTTCACATATACATACACGTTTACATATCTACGCTACGGTTCATATATACATACACGTTTACATATCCACGATACAGTTTACATATACATACACGTTTACATATCCACGATACGGTTCACATATACATACACGTATACATATCCACGATACAGTTCACATATACATACACTTTACATATCTACGCTACAGTTCACATATACATACATGTTTACATATCCAAGATACAGTTCACATATACAAACATGTTTACATATCCACGATACAATTCACATATACAAACACGTTTACATAACTAAGCTACGGTTCACATATACATACATGTTTACATATCTACGCTACGGTTCACATATACATACACGTTTACATATCCACGATACGGTTCACATATACATACACGTATACATATCCACGATACAGTTCACATATACATACACGTTTGCATATCCACGATACAGTTCACATATACATACACGTTTATATATCCACGATACAGTTCACATATACATACACGTTTAAATATCCACGATACAGTTCACATATACATACATGTTTACATATCTACGCTATACGGCTAACATATACATACACGTTTACATATCCACGATACGCATCTATTTTATGGTACGCATTTACTCCTACGTCCACTCATTAAAACATCTTCACTACGATTCATACCTACGTCCACATCAGCACATCTACGATACAGTTCACATATACAAACACGTTTACATATCTACGCTATACGGTTCACATATACATACATGTTTACATATCTACGCTATACGGTTAACATATACATACACGTTTACATATCCACGATACAGTTCACATATACATACACGTTTACATATC